TTCCTCAATAAATGTGCATTGGGTACATTTACATGATTGGCATTTATCAAAGGAAGACAACAAAGCACCTTTCCTCATAAACTGTATTCTAGTTTCAGGATCAGGAGGAGCAGAGAAGGACAGTAAGCAAAGCAATACATAGTACCCGGCGCTGCAAAGGGCCAGGAAAGGAAAAGAAAGAGGCAGAGTAGGATTGACAGGGAGGAATGGATAGCCCTTTTTGATACAGTGATATCTGAATGGACTGGGACAAAATGAGGGAGAAGGATCAGCAATGTATTTCAGAGAAGACCGTTCCAGGGATAGGGATGAGGACATTCAAGATTGGAGGCAGATCATGCTTGGTGCATTTAGGGCACAGAAAGGACCAGTGCTGCTGGAACAAAGAGAGAACAGGGAAAGGAAATGAGGCCGGACAGTCATCAGGAATTAGTTCATGTGAGATTCTGAATGTCATGGAAAGGCTTGGCCTTCAGTCTGAGAGATGAAAAGCCACAGAGAGTTCTATGTGGGGGGATGACAGGACCCATGGTGCATCTTTTAAAAGTAGGTCTGGGTGCACTGTGGAGCAGGAAAGATGGATTTCAAGAGTTTAAGCAAAAGATGGCCCACTCTGGTATGGGCCAGAGTGCTGGCAAAAGAGGTCATAAAAGGACTGTGAGAGAGAGAGAAGAATTGGGATACCACCAGAATATTAGCTTGAACTACTGGGAGACAGATTTGCCGTTAACTGAGTTGATAAGAAGTGTGAAAAGAGCAAGATTGACGAATAAAATTGAGTGTTTGACTTTGAGTACGTTAGTGTGCATTTTGTCTTTGGAACATTCAACAATGGAGATGTTGAATAGGCAGTCGACTGAACTCTCTGAGATCAATGAATAGTCAGGACTGGAGGGAGGTTCTGGGAGGTGTCAGCACAGAAATGATATTTAAACCCAAGACTCAGTACAGAAAGAGAAGTACAATTTCAAAGACTGAGTTCTCGACACACTTACTTTTGGAGTTTGGAAGATGAAGAAGAAACAACATCAGAGATGAAAAGGAACCAAAACCAAGAGATTACAGGTCCAGGAAGCAAAGAGTAGAAGTGTTTCCAAGAAGGGTAAGGTCCATGGTGCCAAGTCCCTGACAGACAAGAGGTCAAACAAGATGAAGACTATGAATTGGCTATCAGATTTGGTGGGGAAGTGACGTGATCTAAACAGAGTGGGACTGCAGAGGTAATCAAGAAAGCCTGGCTGCCGCAGAGAGGTGAAGAGAAGGGCTGGAGAAAGTAACTATGGACTTACAGCAACAGGAGAATGAGAAATAGAGGACAATGCCAATGAGGCGGGAGGAGCATCCTTAAAACTGAAACTTTTAGCAAGGTGTACCTGCAGTGAGTCCACTGGGGTAGAGCAATTTACATTTGTCTTGGAAAGTAGATTTATTCATGTTATGTTTTCTTCTTCTTCATATGCTTGCATACCAAAAAGATGTTACCTATGCATACTATTTAAAGACAAATATTTTTAAATAGATTCCAAACAGAACTTTAACAGAAAAGTAAATGGTTGAAACTGTGTTTCTGTCTTTTCTTGTTCCACTCTCTTCCATGGCTCTTCCTTTTAAGCTTGTGAACATTCTTATGGTCCTAAATTTCATTGAAAAAAAATACAAGCTTTGAGATAAATGACAATGTGTTTCTCCTCCAGTAGTGTTTAAATTTGCCAGAATATTTTTGGATAAAACGTCATGAGAAGTTTGTTTCAAAATAATTTAGTTAGGGTAAGGGGATGAACTGGGAGGAGATGTGAGTTACTTTTAAGTTAATAGTGAAGCTGGTTGATGGGTGGTTCCTTATACCATTCTCTCTGCATCAGTCTGTGTTTGAAAATGTCCATAACACAGTGTTAAAAACTAAAAGAAACAGAGGGTCAATACTATGTTAACACAAAGGAATTTATGAAGTGGTAAAATTTGAGATGATCTGGTAGTAGGTTAAGAAGATATTTTGGTTACATAACATTTTTTGGCATTTTCAAATAATATGAGATGTCTATTTTCATACACAGGGCAAGAGTAAATGACTTTTAATAGATCCTCAATTTTTTCAGTTGCCATAAGATATAATTAATTTGTATAATTTGTATAATTTATATGCAAGTAACTCACAAGACTAGATTTCACCTTTTAAATAAAGCCTTGGTTCTCTTAAATATCAGGTCACTGTATAAAAGCATGAAGAATTCTGGGAAGACTTCATGCTGTGAGATGTGTTTTGAGGGAGATTAATGCTAATCCAGTTTATAGTGATTTAAAAGGCTAAACACTTGATAGTTGACAATATAAGAGATGAAATTTCATTGTAATAATATCACATTTTTTTAAAAAATGTGATTTTTGAAATCTGTCACTGTTATTGCTACATAAGCTTTTAATAATGCTATTACTTCCACATTTGCTTATTTTAAAATAAGCAAATGTGGAAGTAACAGCATTATTACAATAACTCTTCAAATATTAATCAATAGGTATTTTTTATGTTTTCCAGTTACTCATTAACCACTTCATGGTATCATTGTTATTAATACTATGTTGCTGATAATTTACACCAGGGAAAGATTTTTTTAAATGCAATAATTTTCTGCATCAGAAACCTTTAAATTTTACTTATAAACCCTCCACTCATTATACATTCAGCATTAAAAATCAACAATGTATTTGAGACCTAGAAATTCTACTTCAAAAATCACATATAAAGTTATGTTGTTCTTGTGCAGTTTATGGTCTCTTTAGTATGATTTTATTGCCCTCAACATTTTCTTGGTGTAAACTACTGAGCATGGGAATAAGATTTCCTTTGTAACTGATACCTAAATTTCTATCCTGCTTTAAGCATCTAATTTGCACTGTAAAGACATATAATTTGAGACTTGTAGCTATATCACGAAAGTACAACAGTTTACGCTGATCTCTAATTTTCTGTGTTGTATTGGCTATAATTTAAATTTTTTTGCATGTTTTCAACTGCCATTCAAATCAGTATACATCAGAAACCTTTGTATTTGACAGAGACAGGGGAAAGGATGCCTTATTCTGATTTCAGGTAAGCATTCCCTTTTTAAGTCAGCAGGTGCAAGGGGGACCCATTCATAATATTGGCTTTAAATCAGTTTTGGTCACTGGATGGAAATGCAATGCTATTATAAAAGAACTTGACTAATCTTTACAAGCACATCAAATTTTTAAAGATTACTATTATTAGAAAATTCTAGAGGCGAGTAGGACTTTTTCCTTTGACTATTTATTAGGAATAAAATATACTCTGTTGGTTATTTTACTAGTGTAGATATGTGTATGTTTACTAAAAGTAGAAAAAAACTCTGTTACTTATTGATACAGGTTGGAATTAAACACAGTGGAAAATCTGCTGCAACAAATACCTGTTCCAAAGATAACTGATAATGTTACCTTTTCCTTTGGGTTAAGTTTCATTTAATTTGAAATCAATATGTAAGCCAAAAAAGTAACCACAAGATAAAAATTTACTCTAATTGACCCCATTTCAGATAACTGGGTAAATCTTCCTGGAAGAAATGTTAGACAACTATACATGTAACAATTAAATGAAGTTATCTGAATATTTCCACTATAAACTCTTATTTATAAGGTTATGATGATTATTTTAATTAGCTTCAGGCAGAAACTTTGCATGTCATTTCAAGGCACAGAAATAAATTTTAGTCTACAAAACAATTAGACAATTATTAAGTAAATACTCCTTGAGCTAAAGAAGTTAGAGTAAGGTTCTTATAGAACTTAAGGACTTGGTGACAAAACAGAGAAAAGTGAAAAGAAAACTTTAAAGTATGGAAATAGTCATTACATTTGTGAAAACAAATGTTGACCAGTATGAGAATCCAATAAGAATTCATCCTAAGTGGACTATTATCATTACTTATCTTGTTTTATGGTTTATTAACAATACAATGCTTCAATCTTATATTGGATTTTTATTACATAAATCAAAAGCCCCCCAATCCCTTCTCATATGATATTTGACTTGGATTTTCCTTTATGGAGGGCAGGTATTCTTATCCCTATTTTACACACGACTACAAAAAAAACCAAAAAAACAAAAAACAAAAAAAAAACAAGGTTTATGAAGGACTAACCTTTCCAATTTAAGGTAACTCTTGATTTTAACATCCTAAAACATAGAGCAAGGTGTTTCTACTTCCAGCCTAACCAGGATTGGAGTTCACCATGCTGCCTGAAGGGTGGCTTGCCTGGACTAAAAGTCAATCCTTGGTCCAGGGTTCTCACTGCTTCTCAGTCAGAGAGTGAGCTTAGTGAAGGATCAATTAGCTTCAAAAGTATTTTTGTTGTTGTTGAAGAAAAAGCTGAAAGGATGGTGGCTTAAAGCACGAATATTCCTCAAGAGTATTCAATTTACTCAGAATGAACCTTATGATACAAGAAACTTGTGTGTTGCCGCTGTCTCCTTTCACGAACTAAAAAGAAAAAAAAAAAAAAAAAGGAAGACTATCTCCTATAACAACCAGTTTATCCACAGCTTTGCCTCAAATGGAAGTGAAAGTTTGGTGGACCCAAATACTAGAAAGATGTGGAGCACATTATATACCGATCATATCCTCAAGGATGTACTCCAATTCCTAAATGCAACCCTCTCCACACCCTCCCTTCGGAACTTCCATTCAGGCGCTGCTTTCTCAGCACCCTGGAGCAATACACAGTATAGTTAGCTATTGCTGTCACTCCCGGCGGAAATGCTTGACACCTGGTTTCTCTGAGGCCGCCTGCGGTAGAGGACGCTGACACACACACACACACACACACACACACACACACACACACACACACCCCTTTCTTGTGTTCTCAGGGCAGACATAGACTGACATCCCCTACTTACCTGGCCAGGATGCTCAGGCCAGGAAACTCTTGGTGCCAGCCCAAGACTCGGTGCAAAGAGAAGAAAACAGAACAAAACAACTTACCACTTTGTCCCAGTCCAAGAACAAGTGAAAATACCCAGGCCGCCCGAAGAAATGAGGCAGCACCTCGCCGGCAGTTTTGCAGGCAGACAAATGCAGCGGTAAAAAAAGCCAGGGCCGAGCCGCACATAATGCAAAGCAGCCCTACCCGCGCCTGCCGCCAGGCTCCTTTCCTGTAGCGCGCTCTTGCCTCCCGGGCGCACCTCGGGACCAAAAGACTGGGAATCTCTAGGACGTTTCCCTCAGGCCGAGCAGACGGATCTCGCGGCTCCGAGCAAGCTGTGCAGGTACGTGGGCCGAGCACTGCTCTGCATCTCAGGGCTCCCGCGGCCCTCCCAGATCCACTCGGCCAGCCCTGGAGTCTCCACGAAAAGCACCTCCTCCGACGGCCGATGGCCAGCGGCGGCGACGCGATCGAGGGCTCCAAAGCCCGCTCCGGGACAAAGAAAAGAGCTTTTGTTTCTCTCCAGCCGATGGGGCTCTGCTGCATAAATCAGCTTAGCCAAGAGCCAAACACAATCAAACCCAAACAAAGCCCGAGGCTGGGGGGAATCACCCTAATGTATATTCACTGGGTGATGCCGCATTTGTGGGAGGGGACGCCAGAAGGCCGAAGGGGAAAAATGTCGATGGCGCATCAATCTGCGCGAGCTTCTTCCACAGGTGGGCAGGGAGGCCAACTCCACTTTGTAGCAGCTTTGCAGCCTCGCCAGCGGAGCAGCGGGCAAGGTCCAGGCAAAAGCGTTCTGACTGGTGAAGGTTGAGGCTCTGGGTGCCAGAGGCTGGGGAGGCGGCCCCGGGAGCGCTCTAGAAGTGCTTGTAGACGCCCCCAAACACAGAGCAAGGCATTTCTACTTCCAGGCTAGCCAGGACTGGAGCTCAGGGCGCTAGCGCAGGAGGGGAGGTTCCGCGGGGGTGCGAGAGCCCAGCCTCGCGGGGCGGGGGCTTCGTGCCCTTGTCCTTTCGGCTCCAGAGTTTGGCTCAGGCGTCTCGCTGCCCAGACCCCTGGCAGCTGCCGTGGTCTGGGGTGCTCGCAGCGAGGATGCAGTGGAGGAGGTTGGGGTTGAAGAGGATTGGGGTGGTCCTTTCCTGGTCCCCCACCCCACCCCCGAGGGGGTCCCAACCTGCTGTTAGCTGGGCACGCTCCGGCCGGGAGTTGCTAGGAAACCGCCCCACGCTATAGTGCGCCTTGCCGGGTTGCCCGTAGGGGCGGCGGCGCCCGGGCAGAGGCAGCAGCAACAGCTCGGAGTAGCGTGGGCGGGACATTGGTGAGGCATGAAGTCACCGCGGCCCACACTCGCTCTTTGTTTTGCTCACTCCAGCTCTTTTTCTCCCCCTTGGATCGGATAGTTGCCATTCCCACCGTTCACAAGAATTCCTGGTGCGTAGCCGCGCAACAGGAATAGCACACCGCTTTCCCTTTCCCTCTTCCCTGGAATCCTGCACCCCCAAAGCTCGCCCAGGGGGTGTGGTGGGAGACTTGCTCAGCACGAGTGGCAGCTGTGAGCAAACCGCGAACTCTCACCCCTGCACTGCGCGCTCTTTGTTCAGAGATACTCACTGCCCAGCAGCTGCTGCATACAAAGTGGAGTCTAGGGGCCTCTCCCCGCCTCCAGTGCTCTGCTCTGCGAGTGTGCGCTGCCCACTTTGCTTGCAGCTCGCCCTCTGTCCCATCCCGAGGCAGTCCCGGGTCTCCCCAGCCTTTCGAGAGTTGGACGATTCCGCAGGGGCTGTTCCCGGAGCTACTTGCCGAGATTTCTCGCTACTCTTTTACGCAGAGCCTTGCCCCTGAGTTGGACAGCCTTGCTTTTCCCCAGGGTCTGTTTGTGGCTCTGGGCTTTTGCTGGTTACAGTGGGTCTTTTGACCTTAATCGCCACCTTCCCAGTAAACGGAACAAAGAAGTTACACAAGGCAGCAAAGGAGCAAGAGAGAAGCTAAGGAGACAAGGTGGGAGGGGATTGACTGCTTGCAGCTCAGAAATTTAGGTGCTGGAGCAAAACGGTGTTGGGCTGGAGCAATAGGGGAAGCAGAGTATCTCGAGTCCTGTCACTACCCATTTAAGTCCAGGGAGAGAAAGGGAACCCAGCCCCCGGAATTGGAAACGAGACACTGTTCCCAGTTTGAGACTGGGTAATGAAGGTTCCCTTTTCCTTTCGGAGCTGAAGTTGTTTCCCCATCTTGAAGTCTGACCTCTCACTTTTCCACTAGTAACTTATCCGTTTTCTTTAATAGAACACCCACCTCTTCCAGACATCAGACCAGTCCAGCCAGGTCAAGGTGAAATATGCGGGAGTTTCCCTCCTTATTTAATAGTTTCCATCTCCTTGTTTAGAGTAAGAAAACAAGTAGGAGGCTCTCTTTCTTTTCTTTCTGTTTTCTGATTATTAACTGAGTGAATGGAAAGTACCTGTTTAATACACTGCAACATCGAAAACCCCCCTTTTCTCAGGTGTAGATTGCATATTGGGGTGCACAAAACAAGCTCATCATACCAGAAGCCCAGTTGGAAAAAGTGGTCTAGAACTACAAAGCAGACCCTTTTGAGAGACTTGAACCTCAAAAACTGATTCAATTCTACTACCAGCAATGCACACTGAATAAAAATTAAATCAAACTCTACATCATTAATAAATTTCTTTTGATTTCAAATTTGAATAGCTATGATTTTGTTTTTGGAAGCTTCAAAGGAAGGGCCTGAAAACATAGTTGGGATGGGAGTGAAGACTTGAAAAATTGAACATACATCCCCTAGATCTGATTAGTGACTCTTCAGTTGGGCAGCATGCATGTTTTCCAGAGATGATGTCACAGCCTAAGGAATGCAGTCACCCTTGAAACAATACAAATGTTGCAATTAAGAAAAAAAGGTTAAATTCCCAATTTACACAGATATGTAAGTCCACTCTATAAAGTGACAGTCACACCAAAGTTACATGATGGTAGTTTTAAATTTTACCTGTTTACACTACATTGTAAATGGCAGTTACAATATTCAATCAAATATAAACATGCAAATAAGAATCGCTGTAACTTTGTGAAACTTATAATGTATGCGCTATTTTATTTGTTGTTTATTTTTAGGTGTTAATATATTCTATATAGAAGACAAAACCAACTGGGTAGCAAGAGGAATAAAATGAAGCTCACAGTTTTGTTTCTGGAAAGTTTGAAGCCATTTAGAAAGAAGGGTGTGCACATTTTGTGATGTGAAGCCCATGCAAATAAATATCAGGATGCCAGTTCTATAGAGTTGTTGAAGAGTAAGCACTGCACCATTTATCACCACTTCCCAGTTGGAAAGAGTTTGTAACTCTGGTTATTAAAATAAAATAAAACACAATATTCTAGGTGTTAGGTTGTAATCCTGCAACTTATTTATAAACAAGTTATTTGTACATTTTGAGCTATAAAGATAAAAGTAAATTCCTGTGAAATCCTGAAAATCAGCTATAGGATTTTCTTACAGTGAATATAGCTAGCAACCTAGGAACACAATGTTTGCTTATGTCCAATAAATATCATTGATCTCTATAACACATGTTTTTTTCCTTCAAAAATGTATATAATATTGTGAAGAATTGCAGCATATTCTCATCATATTACTTGAAGAGAAAAAAAACTGTTCAAGACATGATGACACCACTAATTCCTGTTTTTCTATCATGTTTTGCAGTCTAATTTTGAAATTTCTGACAGCTAATTTTTCATCACTTGTGGTAAAGAGAGCAAATGAAATTCACAGATAGTCCAAAAATAACATTTAGCTATTCATTCCAGACTTCCTATCATCAGATTCTTTGAGTTGTTAATAAGTCATGAAACTAGATGACATAAGTTTCTTTGCTACTTCTTTAACCTTGATTTTTCACTAACTTTGTTAATAGTGAATAAAGAAACTATAAGTAGGTAGCAGGAGTAAGGGAGACATTGAAAACCCACTTCTTTTATTGAGTATCTAGACTTTAACCAAAGTTTGCTCACATTATTGATCCTATGGTTGCATCTATATTCACATTTAATATTATGTCTTTCTGAATTTGCGATCATAGCTACTCAGTAGCTTTATAGTGGTTACACACAAGTTGTCTATGAACTTGCCTCATCTATTGCTCATAAGAGATGGTGAATGGTCTCACTTGTAAATTATTGAGATTATGACTTCTAACTTCATCTAATGATAAAGGACATAAGCCAATGAAAGATACGTTCTACTAAAATGTTCAATGACACAGTGTTTCTCATTATATTACAGAGTGAAGACGAAGGCCTACAACATAATCACCTACAGAGTAATTCTGAGCTTTAATTCTTTGTGTCTATTTCAGGAGATTCTGAATTAGTAGGTCTTGTATATAGTGCTTAGTAACCTATACTATAGTAACATATACTATTAAAAAAGCCCCTTAAATTGTCCTTAAATGCAGAGAAGTTTAAGCATCCTTACTATAAAAGGTTAGTACAGAGACTCTATGTGTGTTTACTGCCAAAGTCCAGGATCAGGTGCATGCAAAAAAAAAAAAAAAATCAAATGAACTGCTGGAATCAATGTCTCTTGCCAAGATAGCCTATTAAATGTTAATGTTTTCTGAAACAAGACTGCCATGATTAATCTTGGAAAATTCTGGGTTAAAGTTAAATTAAATCCTTTCCTGGATAAATTTCCAGAAACTCAAATAGGCCAACATGTTTTAGGTTCTCTAGAAAAAGAAACTTTTTTTTTTTTTTCAGGAACAACTTGCAGACTAATTTCCCAAGAATCAAACTTGTGAGCTGTTCCCACTTTATAAATGTAGAAACTGAGACCCAGAATGACAAAGAGACAAAACTCAATTTTTTAAGAGGATTTCTGATGAGGCATGAATCTGAGATCAGATCATTTTCAATCACTCTTTTATCAGTGATGACTTTTGGTTTCAAATAGTAGAGTCATATTGTGGCTGTTATAACTGAAAACCAAAATTATTAGAAAGAAATTGGGAGCCCACAGAATCAGCAGGAAACTGGGAAACCAATATTGAATAAGACCAGAAAATAAAGGAGGCCTAAACCCCAATAGTAAGTGTCTAACTCACAAGAATGAGTTCTAACCATCTCTTCATCTTTGGGTAAGTTATTTAATTTCCCTGGGTCAGTGAAAAATACGGATACTTTAAATGGTGCATTTTATCTGTGCATAGCCTAATCCCAGTTTTCCTATATCTTTTTATAGCACACAGAAAATGAATGCTTCTTTGGCCTTTAATTCATTTTCACAGTAATTGTAGAGACGTGATGATATTCGAATGGATTTCTTAGCTTTATTGACTCACCTCTAGCAGGTGACCTTCTCATGTCTGAGTCAGCTCACTGCTCCACTGCACTTCCGCTTGAAGTGCTGGGGAGTGAAATTTCCCGAATACTGTCTCAACTGTATACCTATCAGACAAGAAGTGAGGTATGAATACCTCAGTTCCCTTGCTCTTTGTATGGAATCATTTGGGGCATGATGTTCTGTACTATTTGGGGGCGAGGTTTTTTTTTTTCCCCAATCACAGACAGATACTTTAAAAAATAAAAATAAAATAAAATTAATTATTAGAAAAAGGGAAGACACAAAAATGTTAAATTGCTATGAAAGTTTCTAAACAACTTTAATCTTTTGTAGATATATAAATTTATAAATCCTGAACCAGTCTCAAACAATATAAAGAGTCACTCACACTGTCACACATCACATTGTTAGTAATATTGAGCAGTAGTATTGAGAAGTAAATCGTAGTTGCGCACAGTGATAACTAGATTCAAACATTTCCTCTTTGGCTGCCTTTCTCTCCTCATTTCCCACTGCTTTGTGGCATTTCCTGGTCTCGGGGTCTTCTGGAGGAACTTAAACTGATACAGATAAGAAAAGTTACTGGATATTAACACCTGGTGTCCTGCATATGAAAATATGAATATATATTCTTATCTGGCTAGGTAACCACAGAATAAAAATCACAAGGACTTTGGAATATGAAAAAGCTACTCAGTATTCTTAGAATCATGGGAAAATAATTTTCCTATACTTCTGTTTATTCATTTATGTGATAACAATAGTGAAGTAACTAAATTGCAAATTAAAATAAGATAACACTTCCTTCTTATTGGAATGGCTAAATTCCAAAACACTCACAACACCATATTCTGATGTGGAGCAATAGAAACCATAAATTCCTGTTTGCAGCAATGCAAAGCGGCAGAGCTGCTCTAGAAAGACAGTGTAGCATTTTCTTACAAAATTAAACCATCCAACAATTGTACTCTTTGGTATTTACTAAAAAAAGTTTAAAACTATGATCACACAAAATCTTGCACATAAATGTTTACATCAGCTTTAATTGTAATTGCCCAAACTTAGAACCAATAAAGATGTCCTTCAGACAATAGAATAGTATTTAGCACTAAAAAGTGAAGTATTTAGCATTGAAAATACATGGAGGGATCTCAAATGTGCATTACTAAGTCAACCAGGAAGGGCTACAGACTGTGTGATTCCAAATATGTGACATTTTGG